AAAATTTGTTGATAAAATTCTTTATGAGAATTCAATTTTAACAAACATTTAATTAAATAAAACATTTAATAAATTATTAATTTTTTAATTTAAATAATTAAATTCTTCTAGAATTTTCTAATAAAAATTGATTTAAAAATCGATTTATTATTTTTATTATTTATGAAAATAATTGAATTCTTGCAACGAATTTTGTTACAGTTTTTCTTAAACAATTGAATATTTTTGAAAAATTTTACTACTTGTTAAAATAATTTAATTCTTGCAAAGGTTTTTTGTAAATGATTAACTTTTTTTTTGAAAAATTTTATGGTAACTTAAATTATTATAAAACATGAAGAAGGCGATTACTCGGATATTCTTTTAAGTTGTTGAATTTCAAAAAGGTTTGAATTTGAATGTTTTGAAGAATTTTAATTCCTACGGAAAAATAATAATGATTAAATATTTATTTAGAAAAGAAGTTATTGATGTTTTCGAATAATTTTACAATTAACGAAATTCGCAAATAAATATATTAAGAATATTTTTCTGAGTGAATCAGAATATTCTGTAGGGTCAGGGAAAAGGGGAAAATTTTGTCTAGAAATTAGGGAAAAGTGAGGGAAAAATAAAATTAAATATTTTTTGCAACCCTGAAAAAGTATGAAAAATAATTAAATTAATAAATTGGAACCAATAATAATTAAATGATATTTGCATAAAAAAATAATTTTGAAAACAATAAAAAAGAATATTTAGAATCCAAAATAAAAAAATCAAATTTTTTATACAAAACTCGATATCATTTTATTCTAACAAGAAAAAAATTTCTAAAAAGAAAATCTTAAAACCATATTTTTTTATTATTCTATTTACCGCGTATACAAAACGGGATGTGAAATAATGGAATAGAAGGAAATAATATAGAAACTGCTAGAATTTTAATGAGAAATAATAGTTTATTTCTATTGGAAAATGCTTGGTGACACATTTTCATTATTCATGTGACCGTTAACCCGAATCTTTTTCATTTCCTTATTTCACGTCCTCACTTATAAGCCAAGGGAGAAAATAGCGGAAGGAAAATGAAAGTCATGTTGTTTGAACTCAACGAATATTTATACTTGCAATTTTCGATTACGATCGAGTGGAATAAAATTTGCATTTAACGTGACGATGGGGGTTTTTTTTGGGAAAAAAAACAGGAAAAGGAATCTTTTTTTTTAGCAAGAAAAAAGTAAATGTAAAGTGTGTGAGTAAAAAAAATTTGAACACAATTCTCATAATGTAACTGTAATACAAATTTTCCACTATTTCTCAAAGTTACTTGGCCCGACTTAATTAAAGGGCAATACAGCTCCAACCCCTTCCGACAATCTATTTCACCGACACGACGTTGTATTAACTATCCGTCGCCATCTCTTTTCTCATGTTACCGCATGACAGTGTCCACTTTAATATATAATATGAACGAAAAGAGGAAAAAAAAATATTCAAGAGAACTTTTAATTTTATTTTTCAAAATCTTGAATAATAAAATTATTTTGAAAATTTTTTCCTTTGATCAATTATTGAACACATTTTTCATTTTTATTTTTTGAAAATATTTAAACATTAAAAAAAAACAAAAAATAACTTTTTTTTCTTTAAATCTTTGATAATGAAGCGAAAAATATTCAGTGGTGAATTATTATTATTTTATTCATATTAAAACTTGTAGTGTAAGTAAAATTAAAAATTGGAAATTAATCTTCTGTTGAATTCTTCATGTCAGCGAAAGCAGAAATAAAATATTTTAAATCTAGTTTGGGATACTTCTTTAAAAAAATTTTTTTATTGATCAAAAATATGTTTATCTATCAAAATTATTATTTCGATTCACTTCAAAAATATTTTAATTAAAAAAAATTTTTTTCTAAAAGTTTTAAACGTTAAATAAAGGAAATATTTTATGTACTCCAATTTTTACAAAAAATTACTGAAAAATATTGTAATTGAACATTAAAAAAAGCAACTTAACAAAAAAAAAGTTAAAAGCAACTTTTTTAATTATGAAAAACGATATTTTATGAATGAAATTCAAATTAAAGGAAGTAATAACAAATTTTTCGTTCATTTAAACGTTCGAAACTTTAGGAATATAAAAAATAGCAGACAAACTATTGTTTAATTAGCAAACTTTTGACATTTTTATTAAAATTTTAAGTAAATATAAATAAAAAATTTTACACATGAAAAGAATAATAAAAAAATACTAAAAACTTTCCTTTTATTTTTGAACTTTTGAATGAATGAGATTTTTTTAATGTTTAAATATTTAAAAATAAAATAAAAATGAAAAATAAAATTACGTAAATATTTATTTAGTTAATAATTAATTTTTGTCAATATGCAAAAAAGATTTTATAATAAAATTAACATTGCAAGGTGAATCATACGTTTTTTATGCTCAAATGAACGGAATTTTTTGTCGATTTTAATATTTTTAAAACTGAGTACAATAAACAACAATAATTTAAATTAAATATTCAGAAATTTTATAGTTTATTTTTTCGATACGTTACGTGTAATATTATTTTAGATTGGAATTCAGTTGTTGTAAAATATAATTTCTAATTCTTCATTTTTTATTTTTTATCTATAATCAAATTTCATTTCTAAAAAATTTTTCTCTAATAAAATGCGATTCCTTAAAATTTTTGAACTAAGACAGCTCAATTTCTATAATTTTTTTTTACTAATCGGAATCTTTTACTATTATTAAATTTAAATTTACAAAAAAGTTTAACTTTTTTTTTTATTTTTCTTATTTAAACCAGAAAATACAGTCGGAGTTCGAATCGAAATTATAGAAATCGCCTTTTTGTCATTCAAAAGCATTTTGATTTTTCAATTTTTCTAAATTGTTTTCTAAAACATTTGAATTTAGACAAATAAATTTTAATTTCTAATGGAAAATTTAATTTGAAAATATATTGAAATCGTAATTTTTTTTATAGGCAACTTCGGAAATGTCTTAATTTATTTTTGTAATCAATTAAAATTATTATAAGATGGTAAGGTAAAATTAAAATTAAAATTATTGTTTTAAAATCAGTAATTTTTTAAGGCTATAAATTCATAATAAAAAGAAAAAATGATAAAAAATGTTTTAAATATATTAAATAGATGTTTACATTATTTTCGTCGACAGAAAAAATAAATTCACAAGAAATAAAAGAAAAATATTGGTTGTAATATAAATTTTCAGCAATTTTTTCTTAAAGAAATATTTTACTGTACATATTTTATTTCAAAAAATTTAAATTTATTCTAGAAATGTGAAGTTTTTATGAAATTATTACATTTTAAAAATAAGAATATTTTAGAAAACATTTAGAGAAAAATTTTTAGAAACAAAAAAATTTAGAAACATACGAAATATAAAAAAATTATTTACAGATGAGAAGAAAGTTAAAAATTTTTAGAAAATAAAATAAAGTAGAAGATAGAGAAAATGATTTTTAAAGAAAATGATTTTAAAAATTCAGAATAAATTGTTTGAAATATTTTTTTTAGAAAAATTACTTCATTATAAATAACTTTTCATTATAAATAACTTGCAAATGTTACGCGCACGGAACTTGGTACTCAATTTATTATTAAGCAAATTACAAAATTTTTTATTTTCAAATATAAATTTTTAAAATAATTTCATAATGAAAATTTAAAAATTATTAAAATTTTAATTATTAAAATTTTAATTATTATTATTTTAATTATTAAAATTATTAAAATTATTAAAATTTCTTGAAAGAATTCATATATTTTTCTAAAATTTTAATAAATCCTTCTAAACAATTTAATTATTTTTTTAAGTAGGAAAATCTTTACAAAAATTCAATTATTTTCAAAACAATTTTAATTGAATTCCTCGAAAGAATTCAAATTTAAAAATATTAACATAAAATTAATTTATTTTCTAAAATTTTAATCAATTCTTTGGAACAATTCAATTATTTTTATAAACAGTGAAATTCTTCGCAAGAATTTAATTATTTTCAATACAATTTTAATAAAATTCTTCTTCATAAAATTCAATTGCTTTTCAAAATTTCCAATTAAAATTATTAAAGAAACTTCATTAGTTTAAAACAAATTCAAAGAAATTCTCCAAAAGAATTTAATTATGATTTTTAAAAATTTTTAATAAAATTCTTTGAAGGAATTCTATTATTATCAAATTTTTTGATAAAATTCTTTGCAACAATTCTACAGATTAATTGACAATATCTCGTTTAATTGTTACATAATAATTTATTTACATAACAGAAGAATCTTTTATAAATTTTAAATTACAAAAAAAATTACGAACGAAAATAATAATAATTTTGCACATACTATCTTATAGAAAAAACCATACTGCTATTACTATTTGGCGAATGTCCAGTTAGTGAACTTTATTCTATTCTATCGGTTCTGAAAATCGGGAACAATTGATTACAGAGAAGCAGTCTGTTCGACTTTGGCTTTGATCCAATTTCTCCAAATCGAATCAGAAAATGTGAGGATTTGGCTTATACTTTTATTGCTGTACACGAAACGATTTGTTTTCGATGATATTCAATGTCGATATTTGTAGGAAAATAACTTTTTCTCAATATTGTTAATTGAGCATAAAATTCATTTTCAGCCCCCCCTTCGACTTTTAGAAATTACATTTTTTTTATGGACAATTACTTTCGTAATACTAATTTTGATATTTTATTGCATATTATATGTGTGATTTATTTTTCTTTTTACTGGAAATGTTTTTATATTTATTTTATGTTTTAATTTACAGCTGAAAATATTGAATTCTATGTTTAACGTTTAGTACTTGTAGAATAAATAATTTATTCGTTTGAAATTAATTGATTAATAATTAAATATTAATATTCAATTATTTTAATTTTAGCTAAATAATAATATTTTTTATTATTTAATAAACTAGAAATGAATTATTTTAAAAGTTGATTTTTCTTCTTCTTTTGTTTCAGGATAAGATTGAATGTATAAAGAATCCATCGACCGTTACCAACAAGTTGTGGAGTGTGCGCAAATCTTCTGATCGTAATAATTGACTTTATATCTCGAAAGGTAAGAAAGATAAAGTGGATGCCGTCCATGAGTTGATATACCAGTTGTTTACCGACCTAGAATTTTATTTTATATTTCACATTTTTGCCACTGAACGCTGATTTTTAAAAGTTAAGAAAATCTCGTGATTTTTACCCTAAAATTGAAAATTCAATATTTCTTTAGAATAAAAGTCAATAATTTCAAATTTAGAAATTAAGAACTAATTATTTAGTTAAAAACTAGATATTTATTGAAGAAGTCAAAACGTTACAATTGTTATTGACAATTGTTTTTATTACTTAGAATATTATTAGTAAAATTATATTTTTTTCCTAAAAGAAATGTATCGTTTCCTAAATATTTATTTTTATATTGTCGATTTAATACAGAAAAGTGTGAAAATTATATTTAAATGAAAATATTAACCTTCATTTTTGAAAATTAAGCATTTAGAAAAATTAAAAATTCGCGAAAATTCATTTGCAGCGTGCAAAATAATTATTACAAACATAAATTGAAAAGGCAATGAAATCGTAATTGTTTTTAAAAATAAATTCGCGCAAATTTTTGCAGCGAAAAATAATTTTAAAAAAACAATCGGAGAACACAGATTATCATTTATTTACCTTCTTTTCTTTATTAAAAATTTTGCCACCTATTTTTCAATTATTTTTAATACAATGTTAACAGAGTTCCTCGAAAAATGTATAATTATTTAAAATTTTATTAAAATTCGTCGAAAAAAATCAATTATTTAAAAGTTTGTTGATAAAATTCTTTTTGAGAATATTCAATTTTGAGAAACATTCATTTATTCTATAATTTTCTCATTTTTGTATTAAAATAATTGAATTCTCGGAGAATTTTCTAATAAAAACTGTCTTAAAAATTAATTTCAGTAAAAAATTTTACATAATAATTGAATATTAAAAGCTTTAGCATGCATTTTTATAAATACTTGAATTTTGAAAAAGTTTAGTGAATTTTTAAAAAAATTATTTCAATTATTTATTTTTTTTAAATATTCAATTGGAGAATTTCTGAATATTCAAAATTTCGTAAAATTGAATTGTAAACAAATAGATTTGAAAATTCTCTAGGAACTTTTGCATTTAAATAATTGAAATCCTATGACGAATTTTATTGTTTATGAAAATATTTGAATTCCCGCACAGAAATTTATTATTTTTTAAAATAATTAAATTAATAATTAAATTAAAAATTTAATTAAATTAATTAATACGACAATAAATTTTATTACAATTATTGAATATAATTTAAATTTTGCGCAAATTTTTTACATTTAGAAAGTATAATTGAATTCCTGGGCAGAATTTTATTAATTATAAAAATAATTAAATTTCCTACACAGAATTTTATTATTTATGGAAATAATTAAATTTCTGCACATAATTTTATTATTCTTGAAAATAATTGAATTCTTGTGAAGTATTTTCTTACAATTTTTTTTAAATAATTGAATTCCTGCGCAGTATTGTAGTATTTTTTAAAATAATTGAATTTTCGTGCGCAGTATTTTTTCTGTAATTTCTTAAAATAATTATATTTTTGCGTTAAATTTTATTATTTTTTAAAAATAATTAAAAAATTCCGGAGAAAAATTTTTGTATTTAGAGAATATAATTGAATTCCTGGGCAGAATTAAATTATTATTTATGTAAATAATTTAATTTCTGTATAGAATTTTATTATTCTTAAAAGTAATTGAATTCTTGCCAAGAATATTATTACAATTTTTGGAAATAATAAATTTTTTTTTTTTGAAAAATTTTAACAAAGTTTAAATTCCTATATCTTATTATTGATTTTCAAAAAGGTTTGAATATGACTTTTTTAAAAATCTGGAAATCATGGAAATGGTATGGAATTTTTAAAAGGCTTCTGGAAATCAGGGAAATCATGGAAAAGAACTGGAATTTTTAAAAGTTTCTAAATTTTTCCTGTTTTCCATTTTTTCTCTTAAATAGAAATTCAAATAATAAAAAATCTAAATCCTATAAAAGATAGGAAAAAATGTTGAATTTTAAGAAATTCGGATTTTTGAATTTTTGATAATTTCCGATAATTTTAGATTTTTTACTAAAGAGTCGAGACTATTTAATAAGTAAAGCATTTTCCAAGAGCACAAAAATAATGAAGCTAAATCCCGTAGAAGAGAGGAAAAAATGTTGAATTTTAAGAAATTCGGTTTTTAGAATTTTTGATAATTTTCGATAATTTTAGATTTTTTAGTAAAGAGTCGAGACTATTAAATAAGTAAAGTATTTTTCAAAAGCACAAAAATAATGAAGCTAAATCCCATAAAAGAGAGGAAAAAATGTTGAATTTTAAGAAATTCGGATTTTTGAATTTTTGATAATTTTCGATAATTTTAGATTTTTTAGTAAAGAGTCGAGACTATTAAATAAGTAAAGTATTTTTCAAAAGCACAAAAATAATGAAGCTAAATCCCATAAAAGAGAGGAAAAAATGTTGAATTTTAAGAAATTCGGATTTTTGAATTTTTGATAATTTTCGATAATTTTACATTTTTTACCAAAGAGTCGAGACTATTAAATAAGTAAAGTATTTTTCAAAAGCACAAAAATAATGAAGCTAAATCCCATAAAAGAGAAGAAAAAATGTTGAATTTTAAGAAAATCGGATTTTTGAATTTTTTCGAATTTTTGATAATTTTACATTTTTTACCAAAGAGTCGAGACTATTACATAAGTAAAGTATTTTTCAAAAGCACAAAAATAATGAAGCTAAATCCCATAAAAGAGAGGAAAAAATGTTGAATTTTAAGAAATTCGGATTTTTGAATTTTTGATAATTTTCGATAATTTTAGATTTTTTACCAAAGAGTCAAGACTAATAAATAAGTAAGGTATTTTCCAAAAGCACAAAAATATTGAAGCTAAATCTTATAAAAGAGAAGAAGAAATGTTGAATTTTAAGAAAATCGGATTTTTGAATTTTTTCGAATTTTTGATAATTTTACATTTTTCACCAAAGAGTCGAGACTATTAAATAAGTAAAGTATTTTTCAAAAGCACAAAAATAATGAAGCTAAATCCCAGAAAAGAGAGGAAAAAATGTTGAATTTTAAGAAATTCGGATTTTTGAATTTTTGATAATTTTCGATAATTTTAGATTTTTTAGTAAAGAGTCGAGACTATTAAATAAGTAAAGTATTTTTCAAAAGCACAAAAATAATGAAGCTAAATCCCATAAAAGAGAGGAAAAAATGTTGAATTTTAAGAAATTCGGATTTTTAAATTTTTGATAATTTTCGATAATAAAGCTAAATCCCATAAAAGAGAAGAAAAAATGTTGAATTTTAAGAAAATCGGATTTTTGAATTTTTGATAATTTTCGATAATTTTAGATTTTTTAGTAAAGAGTCGAGACTATTAAATAAGTAAAGTATTTTTCAAAAGTACAAAAATAATGAAGCTAAATCCCATAAAAGAGAGGAAAAAATGTTGAATTTTAAGAAATTCGGTTTTTTGAATTTTTGATAATTTTCGATAATTTTAGATTTTTTAGTAAAGAGTCGAGACTATTAAATAAGTAAAGTATTTTTCAAAAGCACAAAAATAATGAAGCTAAATCCCATAAAAGAGAGGAAAAAATGTTGAATTTTAAGAAATTCGGATTTTTGAATTTTTGATAATTTTCGATAATTTTAGATTTTTTAGTAAAGAGTCGAGACTATTAAATAAGTAAAGTATTTTTCAAAAGCACAAAAATAATGAAGCTAAATCCCATAAAAGAGAGGAAAAAATGTTGAATTTTAAGAAATTCGGATTTTTGAATTTTTGATAATTTTCGATAATTTTAGATTTTTTAGTAAAGAGTCGAGACTATTAAATAAGTAAAGTATTTTTCAAAAGCACAAAAATAATGAAGCTAAATCCCATAAAAGAGAGGAAAAAATGTTGAATTTTAAGAAATTCGGATTTTTGAATTTTTGATAATTTTCGATAATTTTACATTTTTTACCAAAGAGTCGAGACTATTAAATAAGTAAAGTATTTTTCAAAAGCACAAAAATAATGAAGCTAAATCCCATATAATAGAGAGGAAAAAATGTTGAATTTTAAGAAATTCGGATTTTTGAATTTTCGATAATTTTAGATTTTTTACCAAAGAGTCAAGACTAATAAATAAGTAAGGTATTTTCCAAACGCACAAAAATAATGAAACTAAATCTTATAAAAGAGAGGAAAAAATGTTGAATTTTAAGAAATTCGGATTTTTGAATTTTTGATAATTTTCGATAATTTTAGATTTTTTAGTAAAGAGTCGAGACTATTAAATAAGTAAAGTATTTTTCAAAAGCACAAAAATAATGAAGCTAAATCCCGTAGAAGAGAGGAAAAAATGTTGAATTTTAAGAAATTCGGTTTTTTGAATTTTTGATAATTTTCGATAATTTTACATTTTTTACCAAAGAGTCGAGACTATTAAATAAGTAAAGTATTTTTCAAAAGCACAAAAATAATGAAGCTAAATCCCATAAAAGAGAAGAAAAAATGTTGAATTTTAAGAAAATCGGATTTTTGAATTTTTTCGAATTTTTGATAATTTTACATTTTTTACCAAAGAGTCGAGACTATTAAATAAGTAAAGTATTTTTCAAAAGCACAAAAATAATGAAGCTAAATCCCATAAAAGAGAAGAAAAAATGTTGAATTTTAAGAAAATCGGATTTTTGAATTTTTTCGAATTTTTGATAATTTTACATTTTTTACCAAAGAGTCGAGACTATTAAATAAGTAAAGTATTTTTCAAAAGCACAAAAATAATAAAGCTAAATCCCAGAAAAGAGAGGAAAAAATGTTGAATTTTAAGAAATTCGGATTTTTGAATTTTTGATAATTTTCGATAATTTTAGATTTTTTAGTAAAGAGTCGAGACTATTAAATAAGTAAAGTATTTTTCAAAAGCACAAAAATAATGAAGCTAAATCCCGTAGAAGAGAGGAAAAAATGTTGAATTTTAAGAAATTC